CCGCCAGCAGCGGCTACTCGCCACAGTACCTATTGCACATTACCTTAATCGTCCCAGTCGAGTCTGTCAACAAGCCCCGCCGCCGCATCGACGACAACACCACCACCGCCAGTCAACATGGACTCCTCGGAGAATACGGTGCGTTCTGCGCCTCCTGCGATGACATTCACGACGAGAAAAACAAAAATTGACTGACTCCCGATGGCAATGCAGCAGCACCAGTTCCGAACGTCCGTCATACGACCCCCCAGCGCGCTGCCCCGACCGGGGACGAGCATGTCGCACTCGTCGAGTATCCATCCGGGCGGCCTTTCAGAGATGAGCGATGCGCAAAACAACAGTCGGACGATGAACAACAATAGCAGCATGATTCCACCGCCATCATCGGCCAAGGTTGGCTCGTTGGTCGACCTCAAGCGACATGTCCCGCAGCCAGGTGGGTATTTTCCTGTTCCAGCTGTTCCAGTGCTGCAGGTGCTTGCCAGCGAAGTGTATCAAAGCCCGCTGACCGCTCTTTTGCTGCAGCCCAGATTTCGGACCCGAAGCGCGGCAAGACCCTCGCACAGCGCGCTGGCGAATACCCCGGCAGAGACGCCGCACACTCAACACACCCTTCAACAACGGCAGCAGCGGCTGGCCACAATGCTGGTGCTTCTGGCCTCACGAGAGCGGGTTCGGTGAGGGGTCAGACTCTCGCATCGGTAAGTCATCACCACAGGTGCACACACACACCACTCGATTGGACTCGTCACTCGCAGGAGTGAAATGGGTCCATTCTCTTTTTTTTCTGCCCTCTCGTCCCGTCCACGTCCACGTCCACATCCACGTCCCGCCCCCATTCCCAACCAACCTTCAACCCACCTTGCTCAAGTCTTCCCCCCTCCCCCTCTTTGCTACTCCTACTCCCTGCGAACCCTCGTCAACCTTCGAATGTCCTTTACATGATCCCCCCCGAGCCGGCTCGGACGTCGCGATGGAGCTGTGTGCAACCAGCGTCGACGTCGACGTCCTCCGCATTGCTCACTGGATCTGTGTCCATCTTTACCGTGCCTCTCGACGAGCCCTGCGTACCATCATCTGCGTCGCCCCGCGGTTGTCTACCCTGCCGGGATTGCTGTTTGCCCTGTCGCTGCACTGGGACCACACCGACGTCCATCATCCAGGCCTGCACCAAGAGAGACAGCTCACCATGATCCGCCTCGACTCTCGACGACAGCTTCAGCCATTTCAACCGCTGCCACCTGGTCCTGGCCCGACCTACTTCCGCACCACCTCTGGCCGCTTCCAGCTATGTCTCGGCAGCCAGAGCGACAACGGCAGCTCCCGGGGCGTTCGTCTGTTGGTCGATGCAGAGGTGCACCAGGCGACTACTGAGGCGTGCATCACGGACATCACAGACGACATCGGGGACAGGGATGACATGCTTTCTGTACCGCAGGCTGCTCGTCACAAAACCGACCTGTGCCTATGCTGACTCGTTAGCAGTTCAGAAACCCCGCCAGCAACGCCCTCGCGCGTCACAACTCGACCTCGTCGACGACTTCACGATACGGCCAAAACAGCAACTTTTCTGCCAGCGTCGGTCCCGGCACCAGACAGCGCCATGAACGCTCACAGTCGTCGTTGGGCAATAGCCGGTCGGTTCACGCACAGTCGGTCTCCGGACATCCGCGCTCCCGAAACGCAAACACCGCAAGACCTCGCACAGCTATCGGCAATCGAATTGAGGATGAGTGTGATGGACCAATGGCACAACAGCATGGTACGACCAGTCAATTTCGTCAACTGAACTCTCAACGCACTTTTGAATTTCCGCACAACACGTCAAGACATGCCATTCCAGCACCCCACCAGATGAACCACCAGTCACGCAGAGAAGTCTCTCTCACCAGTCGGTTCGGTGCACTGTCCATCAAGGACGACACCAGCTCGGACTCTGCCCAAGATGAAGATCAAGTGGTTTTCAGCCAAGAAAACAGCGTCAGCTCCGCGACCACGACTGCGAGCGGCACTGCGCAAATGGACAACGTCACCATGCGCTCCCCTCGTAAGCTCGCCTTGAAACCGCCAGACCTGTCGCCGAAGAAGAGGCACGCCAGTCGCATGACTGACCCGGCCACGCCTTCGCCAGACTCTAAGCGCGTTAGAGCCGACATGAAAGTATTCGAAGAGGCGATTATGTCCACCATCAAAGAATCCAGATCCCCCGCCAGATGCCCCTCCCCTAGTAAACTCATGTTCTTGACCAAAGATTCTAACACAACTCAATTCGCAGCATGGGATGTCGAAGGACGCTTGGGAGAGCTAGACTCTCAGTTTAAGAAGGTGCAGGACTCGATGAACAGCATGATTTCCGACAAGGAGTTGATGGATGAGAGAGTTGAGATGTACAAGAAGAGAAGTGAGTCGGTCGATGAGAGATGAGAGGAAGGTTGGCTGACGGTCGCAGTATCCGAGCTGGAAACCGAGCGAGACAAGTTCGCGGACCGAAATGAGAGCTTGCACTCTGAGCTTAACAGCATGCGGGAGCAGGTTTCTAAATTGACGATTGAATCAGAAACTGAGAAGCGCAGCCACAAGTACGAGCTCGAGGATGAGGCTCGCAAGCGCCGTCATGAGGTGGAGCAGCTACGACGTGAATTGAGAGATGAGGTTGCACGACAGGAGAAGAGCCAAAGTGAGGCGTTGGCGGCCTTGGAGCGACATTACAAGGCCATGATTGAGGATGAGCGGGCCAAGCAGGGCAAGGAGATTGAGCACCTTCGCATGAGACTCGGAAACGAACAGCAGGACCTCCACCTCAACCTGCAGAAGAAAGATCGCGAGGTGTCAGAGATGCGAGCTGTAATTGAGGGGCTTAAGGGCGGCTTGGACCGCGAGCAGAGCCTGAAGAAGGGGCTCGAGGCCACCATCACCGAGCTCTCGTCCTCTACCCACCAACTTCAGGGCCGAATCAACTCCCTCACCGGACAAGTCGACTACCTCCAGTCCGACAGCAAGGCGCAGTCCGACTCTTACACGCAAATGGAGGCGAGATTGCAGGAGGCTCTTGAGCAGGCGGAGTTTGCCAAGGAGAAGCTCATTAAGGAGGAGACGGAGCGCCGCATTCTCTTCAACAAGTACCAGGAGCTCAAGGGCAACATCCGTGTTATGTGCAGAGTGCGCCCCGTTCTCAGTGCTGCGGAGGGCGCACCAGCGCAGGTTGCGTACCCCGACGACAAGACCTCGGCCGAGATCGCCCTCGCGGGACCCGAGGAGATGAACAGCATTACCGGCAAGGCTACCAGAAAGAACTACAACTTTGAGTTCGACCGCGTCTTCGACCCCAAGGCGCAGAACCAGGACGTGTTTGACGAGATTTCTCAACTGGTGCAGAGTGCGCTCGACGGATACAACGTGTGCATCTTCTGCTATGGTCAAACGGGATCCGGAAAGACCCACACAATGTCGTCTCAAGACGGTATGATTCCTCGCGCGACACACATGATCTACGACACGGTCAAGAAGCTCAAGGAGAAGTCGTGGACATACAAGATGGAGGGATCCTTCATTGAGGTGTACAACGAAGAGCTCAACGACTTGCTCACCGAGGGCAAGGGACGCAAGCTCGAGATCCGCCACGACGACGTGCGCAAGCAGACGACGGTCGTCAACTGCAAGTCGGTCTCGCTGGACTCGGCGGACACGGTTGAGATGATGCTCGACGAGGCCCAGAAGAACCGGTCGGTGGCGGCAACGAAGGCTAACGAGCGGTCGTCCCGTTCGCACAGTGTCTTCATCCTCAAGCTGGTAGGCTTCAACTCGGCAACGGGGGAGCGTTGCGAGGGCACACTCAACTTGGTGGACCTGGCTGGTTCGGAGCGTCTGAAGCACTCGCAGGTCGAAGGCGACAGGATGAAGGAGACACAGAACATCAACAAGTCCTTGTCATGCCTTGGTGATGTTATTGAAGCGCTCGGCAGGGGAAGCGGACACATTCCGTACCGCAACTCCAAGCTGACGCACTTGCTGCAGTACTCCCTCGGGGGCAACAGCAAGACGCTCATGTTTGTGATGGTTAGTCCCTTGGAGACTCACCTCAAGGAGACGTTGACGAGTTTGAGATTTGCTACGAAGGTAAGCCGGTTGCTGAACTTTGCGGAAGAACACGAGACTAACCAGGCACAGGTTCATAATACCCACATTGGTACGGCGAAGGCGACGAAGAAGGTATAAAAGGCCAGAGGGCTGGCTATGGAGGCGTTCTTGGATGAGTGACACGGCGACAGGCGTTGGAGGGATTTTGCGCTGCAGATGGGGCATTGTCGAGTTTGAATTTGTATATCCTAGAAATACGTACAAGTACGATTTCTACACGCAGTCAATACAGCACGAAGGTTGTTCAGGCAGTCATTTGAAGTTGTTGTTGTGAGGATGTGATTGATGTGGTCTGGCCATGGCCAAGCATGGGTCTTGGTCTTGGGGGCCCCCTTCTGTCAGCGGGCGCTAAACTGCCCTGGACTTGCATCCTTTCGCGGCAGGCCCCGGGCCACACGGACACTGCCCTGGCACACGGAAACAAGGCGCAGCCAGGCAGTTTCCAGGCGGGGGGCTTCCAACAAACGCTGAAGACCTCGGTGCAAGGCGTTGGATGGCATCATCCCCCACCCTCACCTCCCCACAACCACTCCTTTAAGCGTTTCGCCGGCCGAGCAATTGGATCAACAAAGGACTGGTACTGGTGGCACGGGAGCTTGCATTCTATTCTTTGTATGTCGCTTTGTACGAAAACATCATTACATTCCTTCTTGGACATTGCTGCAGTCGATTGTAGCGGTCGACGACCAACCGAACAAACGAAACGTGTCGGCGGACGTCGTCGACAGCTTCCCAACCGCGAACGACCTCACGAGACTACACTCTGCACTCGAAGCAGACCCGGACGGGCCACCGACTTCGAAATAGGATATCTAAAGGTGGATCGGGCTGCTTGCCGAGGACACAGCTTCCCAGCCGCCGTAATGATGCGCCAGCAGAAGAAGGGCTTGTCGAGCTCCATGTGGGCGTCCGAGGGAAAGTCCACGAGCCTTGGCCGTCCCTCGACGACTCCGAAGGCGAAAGCCCCGACGAGCTCGACGGTCAACCCCTTAGTACCACGGCAGCCCTCTCCGACCATCGCCGCCGAGTCCTGCTCCGCGGTGAACAGCATTCCCACCCCGCCGATGAGCACCTCGGGGTTCGCCCCCACGACTCCTGCAGTAACGAAGGCCACGACGGCGGCGTACAAGAGCAGTGACCCCGCGGCCGACGCTACACAGGCACACAGAGAGCTCAAGCGGTACGAGCAGATTGTGCGGCGGATGGAGTGGAAGAAACCGTTCCTGAGCGAGGGCTACGACAAGGCGACGGTGAAGTTCGCGGACGAGAAGGGCCGGGCGGAGGCGGAGATGATGTTCAAGCTTGACTTTTACGAGTACTACATGCTGCTGGAGAGGGCGCTCGTGCACCTGATGGGGGTGTTTGAGATTGGCGTGTCGCCGGAGACGACCTCGACGTGGGGCTTTAGCAGCAGCAAGAATGGCAGAGGGGCGGACTTCTCGACGAAGCACAGCTTCCACGAGAACGTGATCTTGTCGCTGCAGAAGGAGGAGAACCCGCTGCACGAGGTGCTGGGGACGGGCGACGTGCTGTTCCAGCTGTCGCGGGCGAAGACGTTGCGGAATTGGTGGAAGCACGCTGAGGACGAGAGCAAGCTGGGCGCGCGCAAGAGGCGGGCTGCGGCGGCGCCGTTGGAGAGCTTTGATTTGACGCTTATTTTCAACGCTGTGTTCGAGGGGCTGGATAAGGGGTATGCGATTGCGGATAGGTGGGTGGAGGTGCTGCAGAGTAGGATGAGCTGGGCGGATGAGGTTATGGATACGGAGTCGGATGGGGAGGATGCGTTTGACTGGATGGTTGACGCAATGGACTGGCAGGCCGTTTAAAGGTGGCGTATAAGCGGCGCGCCTTTGGGGACGGACGGAGTGGAGGATGCATCGTTAGGCGATACCCTTATGGCTCATGCATATTCGAGCATGGCGTACGTTGGATAGTTTTAAACACGCGGATTTCTTATCTCTATGTTTCGCGATCGTGGCGGCGGTGATGGTTCTTGATATGTATGTACATGCCCCGCTGACGAAGTGGCTTGTGGAGCTTGGCTGAGACATGCAATATGAGTGAACCAACTTCTTTGCCAAGGTTTTCGTTTCCCTCTGTATGCTTGTGTGATGTGAGTTGACAGGCCTGCAAGGAATCCGGTTTCCGAAGCCGCGCCCCGAGGACACCGCGCGGAAATGCGTGTGAGCGGCTCTTGAAGTGGTCCGGAGGAAGTGTGAGAGTGGGAAGAGGGATTTGGGACTCCACTGCTGCATCGCGATCTGAATGGGGGGGGGGGGGGGGNCGATCTGAAGGGGGGGGGGGGGCGTGATCTTTTGGGGCTTGGGATTCTTTGGACATACGGCTTTAGTCTACGGAGGCGTCTAGAAGAGTGAGGGTTTCGATTGTGCGCGAGTAGGTTGGCCGGCATCGGGGCCATTCATCTATCCGGGATAGGCAGATGTAAAACCCAGGCTAATGCTATGTTTCTAGTATGTCTTGCGGAAAAGAAACGGCTTGGTTTGGATGGCGTTGAGATGCGGGACGCGGGATGCGAATGTTGCGAGGGGAACGACCTTTTTCGTATGCATGTCTCATGACGCAGCAGAAAGCACATCCCGAAGCTCACCAAATCTTCGTTTCTTGTCTTCAATCGCCTGCGGTACAATCAAATGGTCACGCTTTGCAGAAACATTGGGCTTGACGGATATTGGGAATGCGGGATATGCGAATGCTGCGAGCTGAACGAGAAGGGCAGTTTCGTAACCCCACATAATCCAAGACAAACATGATCAACGGCGCCAGAGGGAAGCTTGTTGCCCGCTCCCGCCGCTCAATGGCTGTGTGATGTGAGCTAGCAGTGTTATATGTTGCAGTCGGTTACTATATCCCGTTCATACCCAAGCACGGGGTGTGGGTGTCTTGTCACTGTCAGTTGTGTGGTGACGGCTGCACGGCATCGCGAAGCTATCTGATAGGCAACGGGAGGACGTTCGACTGGAAGAGATCGCGGAGGCAGACAACCGATGAAAGGCAGAGCAAGAGCAAGCATTGAGCGGCTAAACCGTTTCGGTGGGGGACACATCCTTGTCGACGTTCAGAGTTTCCACGCTCGGCTCCTCCATCTGCCGCGCACCGTCTCGTCGCTAGCGGCAGATCCAGCGGTTTGGGTCCCCACCGGCGCCGACCACCATCCTCTGCCCTTTCTCTTTGGTTTGGGCTCTGCCCTTGTTGGAATTGGCTCTGTGCCGGTGAGAGGAGGCGAGAATGGAGACCATGGAAAACCTGACTGGGTTCTGCTTGAAATTGCCTAGGTTATGATTGGTTTGGTAATCCGCTTCGCTGCGGTGAGGACATACTGCGTAGCGTAACAGGGGGTTGCAGTGATGTCTTGAACCATGAAGGGCACAAGTCGTATTCGGAATCGTCATCCATTCTGGCGGGGTCGTTCGTTTGGATTCGCCCCGGGGAGGAGGTATCCTTGCAAGGCGTCCAGACGAAGTTTGGGGATTGGACTAGGGGACCCCGTCCTGGATGGCCCGTGAAATGAGGGGACGGCGGAGGGAAAAGGCAGAGCTGTTGTTTGTGCGTCTGCCTACTCCCTTTCTCTCTTCTCAGTCGTCTACTAGCGCGGCGTTTGAAGTGGTTGACGGCGCTGGACTGTCTCCGTTAGTCGGTTCGAGTGGCGGGCGCCGGCCTTGTATCATACTGACGCTATCCCACGTTGTAGACATACTTTATCAAGTTGCTCTCCCACCTCGTCTACACCTTCCCCCCTTCTCCTTCAACCCTCTCAAGCAGAGGACAAAGCTTCCGGGCAGAGCGCGACTTGAGCCATCACAAGACGAACCTCTTCGTCCCTTCACACGCACCCCTTTCCGAGCAAAGGCACAGATAGAACACGATGTCGGTCTCGACACTCCTCTCAACGGCGCTGCACCCGCAGAACTGGCCGACGAGCATCTGGGTGCTCCTCCTCACGGGCGTGGCCTACGCGGTGGGCTTCCTGGCGTACCGGCCTTCGTTCCCCCGCAATGCCCCGAAGCTGTTCAAGAGTTACCCCGTGCTGGGGGCGCCGCGGTTCTTCACGGACCGGGGGAACTTCCTGACGGAGGGCCGGCGGTTTGGGCGGTCGGGGAACTGGAGCTTTTATTTTGGAAAGATGAGGATTGTGGGGTTGTCGGGGGAGCCGGGGCGGAATCTGTTTTTTGAGAGTCGGGAGTTGGATTTTACGAAGGGGTGAGTCTTCCTTTCTGTCCTCTTACACGGTTGGGGGAGACCGGGGGGAGATGATGGAACTGACGATGGAGATACAGATACGGCGCCCTGTTCAACGCGACGCCCAAGATCGAAGTATCCCCCGACCAATCCGTCGAAGAGGACTTCGCAGCCAAGTTCAACCGCCTCATCGTGCGGCTCCTACGCAAAGAGCAGCTCTGCAAACGACTGCACCTCCTCGTGCGCGACACGCACGACACGACCAAACGCCTCGCCGCGCGCGACTCCAAGATCAGCGACCCGTTCGAGGACATGTACCGGCTCGTGTTCCAGCTGACGATGCGCATGGTGGGCTGCGACGAGATCGCCGAGGACGACGCGCTGCTCGTCAAGACGCTGCGCATCTTCGAGGGCATCGACGCCGCGAGCACCGCCACGAAGGTCATGTTCCCGTGGATGCCGACGATCGGGCACTTCCGGCGGGTGTACTCGGGCGCGCAGATGTACATGATCCTGGAGCGGGTGATCAAGGAGCGCAAGGCGCGCGGCGTGGACGGGAGCGATGCGCTGCAGTACCTGACGGACGAAGGGTACACGACGGTCGAGATGGTGGCGTTTATTGTTGGGGCGCTGTTCGCGGGGTTGATTAACAGCGGGATCAACGCGGCGTATTTGCTGTGCTTTTTGGGCGCGAACGAGGAGTGGTACGGGCGCGTGCAGCGGGAGGTGGACTCTGTGATTGCGAAGCACCGGCGCAGCGAGGAGGAGACGCCGGAGGAGGTGTTTGCGCGGTTTGAGGTGGAGGACTGGGAGGCGGAGTTCCCGATGGTGGATTTGGGGCTGAAGGAGACGATCCGGCATACGATTACGGGGTGCGGGTTCCGGTATAACGGGACCGGGAAGGATATCCCGATCGGGGACTCGGGGGAGGTGGTCCCGGCGGACGCGTTTGCGGTGTATCATTTTGACGATACGCACATGAGCGAGCGGTTCTTCCCGGAGCCGTTGCGGTGGGACCCCGGGAGGTTTCTGCCACCGCGGGAGGAGGATAAGAGGGATCCGAGGGCGTTTAACGGGTGGGGGAGCGGGCGGCATCCGTGTTTGGGGATGAGGGTGAGTTTTTACTTTTCCTTGTTTTGGTTTTTGCTTGCTTTTCCGGAATGTCTTGGTTCGTTGGAGATGAGGCTTGCTAACGAGGTGCGCTGCGACAGTTTGCCAAGCTGGAGACGTTCGTGGCGACGGCGATCTTCGTGGCCAAGTTCGACTACCACCTGTGTGATGCGGACGGCAACAGAATGGACAAGGTGCCGGAGGACTCGGTGGACCGCAACACGCACTCTGCGTCAAAGCCGAGGAACAACCTGTACTTGAAGTATACCGAGAGGACGCGGTGGGCGAAGGCGTGAGGGTCTTTGGGGTGAGGTAGGGTAGATTGGATACTAAGAGAGCATGTCTCGTTTTGAAGACGTCTGTGAGCGTGTCGTGTCACTGCGGTGTTTCTTACCGTGAGAGGTAGCTTGATGGAAGATTTGAGATAAAGTGCTAGTTTCCTTATTTCAGCATCATGAATGATGAAGATGATTTGTGTGAATGTTTCCTTTTCGTTTCCCGGCCACTCGTTCGGCGAAGATGTGACAAACATATGAAAGTCCGAAATAAGTTGTAGACACCACCGAAAGTCTAGACCACCGAACGCCGAAGCGGAGGGCCCCCCGCCACCTGCAGCGAGAAGCTGTGATTGGCTGGGCGCATTGGGCGGTCGCTTCGCACTGGCACGTCACTGCGCAATCTCATTCATCTCAACTCAGTTCCGTCTGCACTCAGATCTGGACTTCCATCCCCCATCTCCGGTGTTTGCCCCCAACTTCACTCGTACTCTTGCGTTCATTTTCTCTTATTTGACTTACTGCGAAAGGCGCGAAGCTTCTCTAGATCCGCGGAAGAAGTTGGATCATAAACGAGGAACCCGGCATCGGCGCTTTCATCTTCATTCGTCGGATTCGGACCTCATACCAATCTCAGTGAGCACTGTCCGGCCCGCAACTCCGACGAAGGGAGCTGGTGGAGGTATCATCATCCGGACATCTCCTCTTTGCCACACTCACTAGGCAAACTCCCCCTCACAACAACCCACGATGGTCGTCGTAACATACCCCAAAGAATGCGAGGTCGTCCAGCCCGCCCCGCCGCGCGGCCGGGCCGCGACACCGCTCTTCCTCCTCCACGACGGCGGCGGCACCACCTTCGCCTACCACTGCCTCTCCCCGCTCGACCGCGCCGTCTTCGGCATCGCAAACCCGCGCTTCACCTCCGGCACGGAGTGGCCCGGCGGCGTGCCCGAGATGGCGCGCGCGTACCTGCGCATGATCCGCAACACCGTCGCCGGCGCCGAGTACCCGCCCATGGCGCCGTGCACGCTGACGAAAGACGGGCGGCGGCGGTGGAAGATCCTGCTGGGCGGGTGGAGCCTGGGCGGGCTATTGTCGTTGGAGATTGCGCGGCTGCTGGTCACGGGGAAGAACGAGGGCGGCGTGGACGAGGGCGCGGGAGACGGCGGGGACGAGGTCGAGATTGTGGGGCTGGTGATGATTGACAGCGTGTACCCCGTCTGGCCGGTGGGCTCGGAGGTGAAGATTGGGACGTGGATCGAGACGGAGGTGCCGGAGCACAAGAACCTGAAGCTGGCGCGGCGGGCGATGAAGCTGGCGGGCGGGATGGTGAAGGTGTGGAAGATGCCGCGGTGCGGGGCGGCGTTCCGCAACGGGGTGGACTATGAGGTGAGCGAGGACGGGAAGCATGTGGAGAAGTCGTTTTACGGGAGCAGGGCGGAGAAGGAGACGGCCGAGGTCGTGTGGGATCGGCCGCCGAGGGGCGTGCTTGTGCGGGCGTCGGATTGTGTGCCAATGCCTGGGGAGGGGATCAGTCCGGTGGATGTGTATCGCGGGGATGCGAAGTTGGGGTGGGATGGGTATTGCCCTGGGTATGTTGAGAAGACGTTTGTTACCAAGGGGAACCATTTTGATATGTTTTCGTGGGGGTATATCGATGGGATGACGGAGAGGGTGGCGGAGGCCTGTCGGTACTTGGAGGGATGATTGTGATCGATGTAGAAGGGAGAACGGGTTGGGTCTATAATGACTTTGAGGTCGTAATACAGGCGCATGGCTGGGTAATTTTGGATAGACTGCATACGGTGTCGGGCACACGGAACCATAGATATCATGCTGGAAGCTTAGGTAGAGAATGCATCTTGTTTATGCTTAAGACCCTGTTGTTGCGATGGCCCTCAATAATGACTGCGGAACGAAATCAGAAGCTGGAGGGTGCTTCAAAACAATAAAAACACAGCTGGCAGCAAAAGATTGCGTCCGCCGGGGTTCGAACCCAGGTCCCTGGCTGTCATTCTCTGAGAGAGTGGGAGGCCAGAATGCTAAACCACTGCACCACGAACGCGCTTTGATTTGAGATGCTGAGGGCGGCGGCAGAGACGATGATAGGGCGGCGGACGCGGGAAGGCAGTCGTTCTTGCTGAAAGGGGCAGTTGCCAACTGGGTGCTCCTGCCTGTTTGCTTCCCAGAGGCGAATCGGGCAGGCACCGGAGTGGACCCACCCACCCGGACGTCCAGTGCCGTCCTATGGCCCGGGCTTTCTCACCGCTCCGGCTCGGCGACGGGAGGATGCAGAATGATCGTTTGCTCGATTTCGGGATCTAGCTTCAAGGTTTCAGAGCGTACAGCTGCCCACTCAGTTTGCACCCTCCACCCCCGTCGCCACCACAACCCTCTCCTTCTCAACAACAACCGCCCCCGGAACAGCGCCCTGCACACCCGCGATCCTCGCCGGCGTCTCCCCTCTCGCCCACGCCTCCAGCGGCGTCGTCAACACCTTGCGCAGCGCCGCGAACCCGTACCCAACAACGTACATCATCAACAGACTGAACATCGCCCACGTCACAGAGACAACCTGGAAGAGCAGCCAGGGACTGTCCTCGAGCGAGTCGCCGAACGTGAAGCCGATCTTCTCCTCGAACTCGACCAGCGCGGTGGTGAAGTTCTGCCGCGACTCGTCGTCGTGGAAGAAGCCCTTGCCCCCGGCAGCGGTGTCCTCCTTGTCGTCGGCGTCGAGGGACGAGGCGAAGAGAAAGAGCCCGCCGAAGACAACGAGGAGGCAGAGCATGAAGAGGATGCGCGCGAGGTGGAGGATCCAGGTTATGGAGAAGAGGAGGAGGACAAGGGCGCCGTGGGGGGAGCCGTTGTCTGCTGTCGCGAGCCAGGTGGCGAGGTTGCCTTGGGACGATCGCGGTGTGCTTGGGGTTGTCGCGCGAGTTGGGGTTGAGGCGGCGACGATGAGCTTGGCGACGAGGAAGGTGAGGAGGGAGGGGAGGGCGATGAGCTGGAGGAGGCCTGGGTCCTGGCCCAGAGCGGTCATGGCGACGCAGATGAGGATCATGAGGCTCCATGAGCCGAGGATGGAGACGGCGAGGCCGGTGTAGAGCCACGAGGTGGCTTGGCGGAAGATGTTAGCCATGGTATGGGTGGGTGACGGCCAGGTCCTGATGAGCTCAGATTGATGACACGAGCTTGGGGATTGAGGGGTTCAGGTGGCTGATGACCTAGGAATATTGTCAGTCGCTGGGTGGTCCTGAGACACAAATGGGGGACTTACCCTACAGAAGAACTCTCTCGGTCAATATGTTCGAGCTCTCGGCCTGGGATTCACGACCATCGTGGGATGAGATGGGAGGAAGGTGAAGATGAAGATGGAAAAGGGGGTCCACTGTCGTCTGCCTGGATCCTTCTGCTAACCGAAAATAGACTAGCGTGTGTCCGAAGTTCTGCTCCGATGACTTCCACAAGTACGGATATCCGACACTTACAAATCTAGCAAAGACTAAACTTCGTCCGAATCCAAATTCTATTTATGGATTAAAAAGGGGACTAATTGAAAAAAGGGAGCTACAGAGTAAATCTTCCTGGCTTGACCGAATCGTGGCCGAAAGTAGCTGTCGTCTATCGCCTTTCTTTGATGAGCTTGTCAACTTCATCGTCCGGACACGATCATTAGCTGCGAAACACCTAATGAAAATACAAGTATGATGGAAATACGTCTAAGCCAATTTGCCCTGGCCTAGGCTTAAACTCATATGATTTCAAATTCAGTCAACTGGCTCTCATCTTCCGGCCAATATTCTCCTTCCATTACACCGTCAATGATACTGGGTCCCACAAGAACGAAACTCGACCCCTGGGGGCGAACAATGAATGGTAACGTGAGCCCAGCAAAAACGCATATCAAGTCATCCGGCTCGAGGCCGCAGGGACCAATTCCACAAGTACCATTCGTCGTGAAAAATGCCCTTCCCGTCCTGAAGTAGTCCGCAAAGTCTTCGTCCTGAGAGGCCTTCCAGTGTTTGATCTTCACTGCACGAGGCTTTCTTCTAAGCCTCACTCCCCTCGATTCGAAGCTAAGAAGCGATATCAAATGCGTGAAACTTTGCATCCTCCTAGTCTGGTCTGGAGATGCGACTGGTTTCTCTCTCGAATCTTTGGCATTCGGGGCACTCAGCTCGGATATCCAGATAGAGATTGCACCCAGAACTGCATTTGCAACAGCTGGGCTGCAAGTCCTCCTGTCTTTGGCTTCTGGCTCGGACGGGTGGTGAAGCCTGGGCCCAATGTGTGCGCTGTCTACTCCCCCAAGGATTCGCCCTTCCAAGTAAAGCTTTTTGTTGTCTTCCGAGAATCTGCACCGATACTGGCTGGTGCGGGATGGCTTGAACATAAACGCTAGCGATCTGTAGTTCCAAAATCGCTCCGGAATGTCGTTGCCGGCCCAGTCGACCGCCCAAGATGGCAAGTCTTTCAATGCTGACCAGCGACTTGCCTCATACACAACGTTCGATGACTCGTGCCCCTGAAGCATGTACTTAGTTGCTTCCGTAAATATGGACGCAGCGCAACGATTGTAGTCAACTTCTACCTTGCCGAATGTATGAGGGTATTGACTTCGTAATGCAAACACCTTGTCCCTCGGGTCAGAGGTCTTCATTGATATGAAATCTGCTGCCCTATACAGATGAATATTTCTGAAGACAAACAAGAGATGTGGTTTCTGAGCTCTGTTGAAGACGTCCTGATGGAACCACATCTCACTGCGGATGTTGTCGTGTCCGTTGTCGAACATATCGAGTGCCTTGTACACCAAGTTCAGCCCTATAACTTGAGAATCTTGGCACAAGACTTTGACATTGACATGTGCAACCTCTTGTAGAGTCCAAGCTCGAGTCCAGTAGGGCGCATCGCACAAAAGCTCAAGACTTTCCTTGTCACGGCAGGCTATCTCGTGTTAGCTGAGAAGCGCTATGACCTTCGCGCTTTACATGGGTATTGGGATGGTAGTACCTTTGACAAAAGTTCGACTTGCCATGTCTGAAATCCAGAACTTAAGGTCCTTTGGCAATATCTTTTCGAATCCAGAACTTGGGGGTTTTCTCAGGTCTTCGATCCAAGCCAGTCTTCGGTGCGACAAGAATGATATTGTCTTCATGTCCTTTGGTGCCCATTCCTCTCCCAGCCAAACGATCGCAAACTTCGCCTGGCGATATATATCTGCCATCATGCTCACTTGCACGTTCTTCTCTTCGGTTTCGGCCTGGTTGATGCATACGGCATCCACCCAAATCCCAGTTCCTGTTCCTTGAACCAGTTTCCGCAACCTTCGCAAAGCAGTAGCGCAATTTGGAGTGACGAGAATGGTTGCAGTTGAGGATTCGGAAGTATCTGATGCCGCGTCGTCGTGAATAAACATGGGTTGACTTGGTGTTTCCCCGCCCCAGGTATATGACAGGGCGTAGTAGTCTTCTGGCTGATCTAAACTGGTCTCAACAAGGCTACAGGACAAAGGCGCGTTGTCCTCGAGACTCGGGTGGAATATAATCAGACGGACAGCCCGTTGATGTGAAAGTGGCTGATAACAGTACGTAGTCATACGGCAGTCAACAAGGTGCGCCTCCAGGCGGCAAACTGCGAAGAAGAAAAGTTAGAAGGGAAGAAAGGTACGTAGTCATAGTGAGCGATGATTCAAGTGCCGTCCACGGACATAGAAGAGGTGTTATTATAGTATTCAGTCTTTTGATGAAGAAGCCGGCGTAAGAAAAGGTGAAAATGAATCAGGCTGAGCTGAATGGGACAGAAACCAGGATATCAAGTTGAGTAAGCCATCCTTCATGCAGGCTTAGCCAATGATCGTAGGCTCGCAGGCTGCTAGACGTGGCCCTTCATTTTGTGCCGGCCCTCATAATGCCCTGGCTTGGCCCGAGGATGAAATCCAAGAGGCGCAGAAAAGTTTCTAGAGTCTTTAAACAATATCACGGTAAAAAATGAGCAGAAAAACAAAAGATTTTGCGCCGAGGGGGAATCGAACCCCCGGCTCCCCGACGCTGCTGGATGGCAACGGAGAATTTTACCACTAAACCATCGGCGCTGATGATGTGACTGTCTCTGTTGGAGACGTTGAATGACGATGGAAGGTCCGCAATTGGAATATGTTGCGTTGTGGGTGATCGCGGATCCACTGCAATGGGCATGAGGGTTTGAGATGACCCCACTCAAGACAAACAAGAAGGACGACTGTGATAGCAAAAACAACATGGAAAAAGAGTAATGATGGAGATAGTAAGTGTAGCATAAAAAACAGGGGTTATGAAACAGGGCAAATGAGCGCTGTGCCCTAGCCTACTAGTCCAGATCGTGATATCAGAATAATGCTGAATATGAGATGATCAGAAGCTGGTCTCCCAGCATCTGAGACTCTTACAACACAATCTATAGCCCGGCTAAGCAAGACACCAGAAGATACAATCCCATTTTATAGAAATCAACGATCAGTTAATACCAACACTCAACTGGACCACGAGCTTTTCGAGAATCACCCATTTATCCTCGTCTTTCGCCTTTTCCATGTCATCTGCTTTGGGCTTGAAAATTGCCCAGACTGGCAGATATTTGGCGTCCGTCCACTGGCTGCTCTTGATATTGTCAAGCGCCTGCTTCATGTTCTTTTGGAGTCGCAACGCATCAGCCAATCCCACGCACGTACTGGCCATCCGAGAGTTTTCCTGCCCCTTTTTATCAGCGAGACGATGCTCTGTTATCCTGGCGCAGTATATCAGCAGAGATGCCAGACCCGCAGCGAGAGCCGTGCCGACTGATGATCCATCGTGATACTTGACTGGTTCCGATGATCTGGGATTCTTGGCCTCGGCAACTTGGTTACCGGGAAAGAAGTAGTCAATCCTTTTAACATCCTCGGTATGACCGTCACGCTGGCCTAGGTATGTTGCAGCACCGATGCGGAAGATGTACCCAGGCTGCTTCTGATACGGGAGCGTGTCCATGGCTCCTGCTTGGATGTCGTCGCTTGCTGAGCAAAACATCAGAATTCCAGCCTTTGCCGCGTCATCAATAGCATCTCCGAGGGCGTGGATGTCACGTTGCTCCATGGAGGGCCTGTCGCTAAAACTACCATTCCTGGAGTCGTTGCCCATGGGGGATGTATGGCCTCCCGTCATCGCGTTCTTGATGGTCCACGACATGGAGATGATATCCACCTTTTTGTCAATGGCGTATCGAATGGCTTTCGCAGCACTGCCGGCGAATATGTTCCGTCCTCCGTTTCGTGACGGACCGTCTTGCACCCTGACGACGTGTAACTCAACCCAAGGGTTGACTCTCACTATCATGTTCGCCAGGATAGTGCCATGGCCGGTGCTGGAGCAATGCCAGGGACCGCCGGGGAAGTAACTCACTCCACTACTAGTGACGCTGCCATTGTAGTCGTCGAGGTTGCCAAGATTGATTCCATCGTCAATCAGGGCGAGCTAAGGCAATGTGTCAACCGCTGCGATCGTATGGCCTCTTAGAAGGGACCTTACCTTCACTCTTGGAGCTTTGCTGCCCTTCAGATCTGGGAGTGAGCTCAAGGCTCTCCGGAATATGTCCATCGTGTCGACCCAGACGTGCTGCTTTTCAGCTGCCTCATCGCTAACAGGACCTGATGCATCTTCAACTGTGTCCATGTTCGCCATCAGTCCCTCCATCCGAATGACGGTTTTCACCGCAACACCGCCGCCTGTCTTCCTCTGAACCTCTTGTTTGAATCGATTCAGCATGGCAACCATTCTGTCTCGAGTCTCGAGCCCCTATTTGATGCATGTTAGGAAGCCGAAATAGTGTAAGCCTTGAGAATGAGACTTACTGGTGCTGCGTGAATAGTGACTCTCTTGAGCCTCCGTTCTGTTGTCACATACAGCCGAGGAATACCTTCGTCGCAGTCCCAGGCTCTAAGGACAGCCTGATTGCCACTCCAGTAGAGATGCACATTCTCGACGGTAGGCGCAGCAAAGGCAATGACTTCAGTGCTCAAGTCAGGCTTCCGCCAGTCCCTTCATGTATTGTTAGAGTTAAAGTGCTCCTGACAATGACAAATGGTCATGAATGACACCTACCATGTCTCAACAGCTATAGGCTCTCGTCCTACCGTTCCACCATCTTTGAGAAAGGACTCTCGACCTTGTAACGCAATCTCTATGGAGGCATCCGTATGAGAGGGCGGGTGTCTATCTTCGACGTGTAGGCGTAAGATCTTCTTGACCTTCAGCTCATGCAACTTGTCGAAAACTTTGACGAGCTCAATACGACCGGGTGACGGATTTTCAGTCAGGGAACCTCTTTGAGCTGCGCTCGCGTTTCTGCCTAATGGCGTGTTAATCGAGCTGTGACTAACCGTTGGGAGATGAACGTAGGCGAGAGTGTCGTTGAAGCCACCGGCGGACATGCGGCTTAACAGGTGAACTATGCTCTTCGCATCTTTCTGACCCTTTGCATCGAAACACAGGTTCTTGTCGAGGTCTTAAACAAGTTCAACATCAGCAACCTGCAAAGTGGAACTCCGAGAAGTTTACTAACCTGAGATGTTGCCTCTAAATATCAGATCTCGGGCTTCCATATCTGACCGCGTTCGGATGTAATGTGTGGTAACAAATTCGTCCAAGCCACTCCAGCCCCTGAGTTTGGCCTCGAAAGTGGACATGTTCACCGTATTCTCGGTCCCTATGTCCCTCGGCCTTTTCATATTCGCACGAGATCGACCGTCCGTTAGGGTTGAGGACTGGAAACCAGTTGGGGTTTGGGGGCGGTCTGACGCATGCCCAGCTGTATTGGACCTGCTGATGCTGGGCTGTGTCAAAGCTGTTCCAACCTTTGAGCCCTTCATCATTGGTTCTTTGACGATCCCATCAGGTGTTGCAGTGGTTCTTCCTACGGGAAGTGATGGCATTTTCACGATGCCTACCATTCCTGGATCCCTGCTGGTCGCATTGACGTACATATCCGCTGGCGGAGGGCCCATGGGTTGCTTAGAGCGGCTATCTACCGTTGTTTCTGGTAACGGCGGTGCGGCGGCATTGTCGAAATTTAGTAACCCCTTTGAAAGAAGAATAGTAATTTGCGCCTCTTTTTTCGCCATTTTCCTCGCGGAGTAGTCTCTTTGAAACTTTTGATGAATCTTTCGGCCAAACATAACAGGAGACTCCCCCCTGTCATTGAATAGCGGACGCTGCTCCTTTTTGATAACAACATCTCCCACCTCAAACATCGTCCTCACCGCTTTGAAGTATTCATCGGATCGGTCTAGACACATCCGACAGTCCATTGCGTAATGAATCGGCGTATTTCCGATATTATCTGCTGTAGCAACCGTTTGCGCCTTTGCCTTTGAAGCCAAGCGTGGGACAAGAAGGGCTTTCTTATCGCGGATGGCCTTCGTAGAGTCCCACGTGAAGAGATGATGTAGTAAGTTCTTGCCCTCTCCGTCTTGAACATGAAGTAGGTCTGAGAACTTGTCTCCCAGACATCGCTCAACACAGTCGATGAAGTCGTCGTTGTTGTAATGGATGGCCACCAGAAGAAATAGGTCTTCTTTCCCTCCGTGCTGAGGCCCCAGCTCATTGCATGTCCCACCTCGGCATTCTAGAAGGTAACCAGCAAGATCCGTCTGAATGCTTTTAGGAGCTCTGGAGAAGCCTCTCTTGCTTTTAGCGAGAATATGTAGTGCCGTGGGTGCAACACGATCTCGGTAGTCCCTCCTCGAAGCAATTGTCTTCTTCTTGTAGTCCTCGAGCACTGGCGTCTCTTCATCACCTGCTGTATTGTCCCATCGTCTTTTCTTGTCGATCAAAAGATCCAGTACATCTAGGCATTGTAGGTCCAATTCCCGGCTCTTCCATTCTTTTTCTACATCACTCTCTTCATATGTTGCTTTGGGACTGTCAACTGCATGGTTTTGGACCTGGGGGACATCCAACTCGTCGAATTCGTCGTCCGTAAAATCGAATTCCATATCTATTTGGTTCTTCAAGTTACAACATATACAGATGAAGCTTCGAAGGGGAACTCACTTGGTTGGATAGAATAGACTACAAGTGATGCGACGAAGTTGCGACTGGGATAGAGAGTGTCTGGCGCCAAAATCCCCATTCAGCAGAGTGCTGCACATAATACGAGCGGCTCGTTGAGAGATGTCAAGCTCACATACTACTAACCCCGTTCGCGAGAATTCAAAATTCTGACCAACTTCTGCCTGCATGAACATGCAAGAATTTTCAACTTGATCTAGGATGATACGTATGTATCGTGCTGGAGCCCTGGTGCAGAAAGATCGACTGCGACAGGGCATGTCTTCACGGCCGAGAACAACACGACTTGCAGGGCCATCTCCATAACTCTTGCTGAACAGCCTATCAAATATGAGGAATTTGAGTTTTGATTTGGTTGCCATTTGTTTCTGAACAATGCACCAACAGGGCATATGCAGTGGCCGTCACTCGTTCGGCCGTACCAACCAACAACCAAGTGACAAATGACACCAACGTGTCTGGATTTGGAACTCGGTTCTATTCTTATCACGACTCAGCCACTGCAACCTCGACAACTGTCGTCACCTTCTCAGCCCTCCCCTCGCGCAGCGACTGGGCCCTTGATGCCTTGGCTGCTTCCTCAAATGTGTTGTGAAATGTACAGTCCCACAAACTGGATAAGTCCACCTGACCCAGGTTCCAACGCTTCCGTACAAGGTCGTTTGCTAGCGCGTTCAGAGGTTCGCTGGCTGGTGCGAGTATGATTGGGTCATCGCTTCTTCTGAAAGCCACGAGGGAGCCTAATCTGGTCTTCAGGTCAGGTGTCACCTGGACATCAGGCAACAACTCGAAGTCTTCCTCTGTATCCCTGGTCAGAAGAACACACGCTCGAAAAAGCGTCATGATCCCGTTCTGCTGAGAATCGTTCTCTTGCAGAGACCATTGCGCGAGGGGATAGTTGCTCCACTCGTCGCAGGGGTTGTTTCCCACAATCTTGGCCGCATGTGTGGTCACCTTCTCGACGGACCTCTCGGCACGCAGGTTGGTGTTGACATTCACAACAGCGCCTCCCGAAACCCCGCTCTCCCCTCCCACTGTTTTGGTCACCGTTTCTGTGGTCTGCATCATGACGTGTTTTCCAAAAGGCGCCACTTTGGTGACTGTCGGGCCTATGCTGGCGCTGCCTTTCTTTGCCCGGAACTCGAACGATATGTTCGCCTCCTTGATCCGGGTCGATCGGTGCGAGAAGAACGAAAAGTCGTACACCAGCAGTGTTGCAGGTGTGTGAGAGTCTTGGTCTAAAGTGCCGTGAATGATAGCTTTGGCGATGGCACCAACGTTGAAAGCTGGCTTTCTCCTGGATCCCGAGTGGAATTGGGTTGCTACAGTGCGCTGCTTTTCGCCATGTCTGTTTCGAACATGGAAGCCTGCGTTCTATGAGAATAAAGAACTCTTCTTTGCGGGTCAAGGACTCGATTTACCTCCTGACTGACCTTGCGGTCTCATATCCAATGTAAAGGAGCTAGCATCCTCAGAAATCGACTCATAGTCCTCGATCTCGTCCGATTCCGAGTCAGTACTCATCCATAGCTCAGAATCGTCAAGTTCGGTCATTTTTGAGTTGCCGAAGTTGACGTTATCATCGGTGTCGCAAGGTAACGAAGTCGTAAGGTGACAACAACTTTCCCACTGCTGTCTCGAATCTTACCGCAATGTACAGCTCATTTAACCTGATGAGTGCAGATAATGACGAGATCATCTACTCCGCATTTAGCGACGGGGCAAATTCCCAGCGACATTTTCTATTTTCGTCGTCTCTGGAACCCGTTGGCGCTAGTGTTGGTCCTCCATGCATGGCGTGACGTTGTGACTTGGAGTAGCCTGCATGCTTGTAACAGCATGGGTCCAGCCCTCCCGCAAGGATTTTGCCTTGCTGCCTGTTAGCAGAAAGAAAAATTACCTGCTGCAAAGTTCTTTCGGCTGATAACGGGACTAATAGTAATTTTGGGGCCTCCTGCTTTGATCTCAGGGGTCCAATGTTTGCGAACTCGCGCTCTCACACTTGTGTCTGTAGTCGGTTGAACGCCATCTGCCTTTGCAGACTCGGGTATGTGGTAGCAAGATTTCATTCGTTTCCCAAGCTTACTGCTTTTCTCATACGTTGAACGCTTATACACTTTACCAGCTACTATCTACCATCTAGCATGACGGGGCAGGTCCTCGCGCATGTGTTTGAAAGAATTACCTGGGATCAGCCATCAGAAAACAGTGCCGTCATGACTGTTGAAGATGTACCACACTCAGCACGGCATGCTTCAGAAACTGAACCAAAACCCCATCCCGAAAAAGAGAATGACGCCGACGAGGATGATGTTGCATTGTCATACTTGCAGTTGAAGAGCAGTCACTTACCAGAGGGTGAAGGTGACTCCAAAATTATCGAGTACGCAATACCTCAACACTTCAAAGGTGATGTGGCCGGAACTGACGTATCCTTTTACCACAGTATCGTACATGTCGCATGCTTCCGGCCTGAAGTTCAGATGTTCAGCCGTGAACACCTGCTCTCCGACAAGCTCAATGGGATTGGGACCAGAGAACTCGTGTTTCAAGTAGGGATCAATGAACTCCTTATTGGGGAGATGGTGCAGGAATACGTTGAGGAGCAAGCTAAGTGCCTCCTCCGCGGACTCCTGGCAAGAAGGGCTAGCACCTCAGTGAGTCAAGTCGATTTCCCAAGTCTCGCGCTTAATACTAAGCAGCCCTTGATCCAGAATAAAAAGCCAACTATAATATTTGTCGCTTATGATCTAGGATCTGTCATTGTCAAGACGGTAAGATAGGCCTGTATTGTAAGCCCTATCACAGTAGTAGTTGCTCACACTAGGCGCTGTACCCAAATGACAGGCTCTTTACTTGGCAGCCAGCTTTCCAAGCACGTATCCGGATATTTTCTGTGATACGAGAAGAATAGTAAGTATAGAGCCTAGGCTAAGCTGGATCAATGTGAAGGCTAACAAAGTTAAGGTTTTCTCAGGATGTCTTCAACGTGGAGTGGACATTAACGATTTAGCAGCCAAGCTAGCCAATTTTCTGGTCGATCAAAGTAAAGAGAAGAGCATGTTCGGCATCATATCCATGACGACATGTAGCCTTGCGGCTTGCATATCGAGGACAAATCAGCTGTTCTTGATGTCCAAAATCAGTCTTCGATGCCTCATTATTAGCCTTTGTGCCTCCAGCAAGAAGCAGGAGACATTGCACCATGTGAGACAGGAGTCTTCAGACTGTATGTCAACGACAGCATTCTAACAATTCACATAGATTCTGGATGAATTTACTGCGACTATGGGACTGCCATCTGAAGTCACCATCCAAGAAACAGTCAGAGTGCTATCCAAGAAAGAACTACCCATGGAATGGAGGTTTTGCAACCTATCTGAAATAATTTCCAAGCATCTTTCAGGTAAGTCTGTTCAAAAAAGTAAGAGGAAATTTCCAGAGTATCAATAAACTAATTCATGTAAGTCTCTCCATTGCCTGCCACATGGGCCGCCACAGAGAAATCTCTTCTTTCCATTTCTGCCCACCCGCGCCAGCAGTGGCCCAGAAGTCAGAATGAAGACACTTATGGACTGAGAATTGAGTCAAGCTCTTCTTACCAAGAATGGGCAAGCTCTACCGGGAGCAAGATTATCTACATTCACGGTACCTCAACTACAACGACTCACGACGTGGCTAACTACATCTTTACTTCACATGTAAAGACTCTGAGAGAAAGCGAGACCTTTTCGCCGAATCGGGCCTACATGTATACATTTGACTCCCGAGATCCTCTTCATGACTCAATTCCGAGTATGGTTGCCGGCATGCTACTTCAATCTGTCGTTGGCCGAGGATGTCGAAGGGAGGAGTGTCAACAGCTGCAAGAACCGTTTCTTATGCGTGAGCAACCTCAGTAAAACTTTGAATGAATTATTGAGAGTGCTAACCAATTTGAGCAACAGTGGCTGGTTGGGGAGACAGCTCATGCCAAGTGGCTTTGGAGACACTTAAGATGACGTGCCTCTCTCAAGGATTGGTCTTACTTCTTCATGACTTTGATGAGTGCAGCTCGGATAGCCGAAGGCGATTCCTCGAATACTACCGAGACATGGTGGACAAGACGGAGCATGAACTGAAACTGATAATCACTTCAAGAAAGCCTGACGTTCTGTTGACAGAGCTTACAACATGGCCTAAGCTGAATGTGGAAGAGCTCCCGTCGAAAGCTATCACCTCAATCATTAAAGTCATCCACGAATCCAATCAGTCGAGTAGAATTACTAGCATGGAAGATGCGGTATGGAAGCATCTTCATGGTCTTCGTGCTCATCACGCAAACTCAACGCTTCAGATGATCCTTGAGATCGTCCGAAACTACACGGGCTGGCCCGAAGTCCAGTCGAGAGCATCTCTTACGGAAGCCTCTCGACTTTTACGATCTGTGTCTCCTACCGAAACCACCAGGACATTTCTACACAGATTGCTGAAATCTCACGATCGCCCAGACGATATCAAGTGGGCCATGAGCTGGTTACTTTGTAGTTACCGACCTCTGAACGTCCAAGAGTTTGCTTTTGTCTGCAACAGGAGACGCCCTTACGAGCCAAGCGATGAAGAGGATATCGGTTCACAGTGGGTTTCTGTTGGTCTGACCTCACGCCTACCAACGTGGCTGAACTCTGTGCTTCGTGTTCTTGTTGACACAGAGAAGGAGCCGGTTGAGATCCGTGATGATGTCCGGAACCTTTTGGAGCACGATCCTGGAGCCGAACAATACATGTGGGACGAGGTCAGATCTACGGGACATTACGCTCTGTTCGAGTTCTGTGCGAACTACGTCACAGCAAAGCACACTGTTAAGAAGCTGGAAGTCATGTTCAAGAACTATAACACACTATGGCAAAACAACCAGCAGGGAAAGAAACCCACTGCTCCCCTGGACTGCGACAACAACGACATCGTCTACTACGCCATACAGGCACTGCCTTATCATATGTCCAAGTTGAGCGACTCTGCCACGGCATTGAAAAGATTTTGCGCTCACGGGGGAGGGGGAGCTTCTACCGTATGGGCAAAGTTGTACTGGGCAATGAGCAGCTTGCGAACCAGGAACCCACCTACATCGACACAAGGGGTTTTGGGCGGCCTTGGATTGACCCCTTTTGCGGAGGTGAGAGAAGGAGCAATTGAAGTGAGGGCAGAATACGCTCTCATGAAAATCGTTCAAGGCAGAGGGCGCGAGATATGGTTGCTCCTTGATGAAGAACACTTCCCACTCTGTGCCTTGGAAGATTGAGTTTGTAGTTACGACGCAGCCCCCCCGCAAAAAGACTACGGCAAAATTCACCCCATACGCGGGCATAATTCCGGAAACACTATATGGGTACTTTGACCTGTGCCTTCTACTAATTAAGGAAAACAGTATAGAAACCCTATACGTTCCTGCTGGCAGGTAAACCCTCGTATAAAGTTGAAAGTGCGCCCTGGCCGAATAGACCGGCGGAATAGTAATGGCGCTGGCTGCGTAGCGTGGGGCTGGCGGCGCTGTATGTAGTGGGGCTGATCATATTGGGGCTGAACAGGTTATTGAGGCTCTTATGGCCTAGTGATAGCTTTGCTGAACTTTCTAGCGAGGTGAATGCTACTATATGAGAGATGACTCCTTAACTAAAGAGGTTGTTAGAAGAGGTTCTTATAGCTAGAAGTATAAAAACTCTGCTACTGCGCGTAGGGCTTTGTGCCTATCCCTCTTCCTCTTCCTCTTCCTATAACCTATAATAAGTCCTTCATAATATCTGCACTATAAGAGATATATAAGAACGCTAATCCCCCGCGAGGTACGCCCTTCTATAAGCAAACGGCTAAGGGTATCGCTACGTAGGATAATATCTATATACTAAACGAAGCCCTCGAATTTAGCGAGCACTCTTTCGCTAATTAGTAGCGTATTATCAGGGTAGTAACAGCTAGAGCCCTCATAAATACCCCTAAAGGGGACCCTCTCTATACTGCGATCAAGGTAATAAACGATAGCCCTGAACGCCTCTGCGCAGAGGCTACGCGCGTCTCTAGCCATCCCGATGAGTGGCCCTTCTTTGCGTAAGCCCTCCGCAATGCTAAGGCAGAGGCAGCCTAGGCCTAGGCATAGGCATAGGCATAGTAGGGATTGGTGAGTGCGCCTTGCGCTGAACAGAGAGAGCGTTGCTGATGATGGCACAGCTGTGAAGGCGTCAGCCAGCCTGATCGAACAAGAAGAATGGCGGACGGCGAAGCAGTGATGGAGACGGTGTTTGACGGTGGCGCGGGTGATGCGCGAGAGAGAGGATAGGTCGACAGTTCAGTAGTCAGTAATTGAGTAATCACAAACCACATCGTTGTCGAAGTGAAGTTGAAGATCGTGAGGTTGTGCGCTGACTGACGTGCACATGTAAGTGCGGCTGTGGTTGGGAGAGGTGGTCGGAGACTACGATCACGTGACCGAGTGCCTTGGAAGATATTCTCGCCACATCCATTCAAGCCGGTGATGAAGAAACAGCCCGAAAAGCAGCGGCAAACATAATATCAGACCCGAATTGGAGGACCAAAGCCTTCTCGTCGATGGAAAAGGCAATCTGGGCAGCAACGTGGCTAGGAATGTCAGCCCTCGTGGATGATCTATTGCATGCTGAAATGAGCCCGAACTTGACTTCGGTGCCCCATGAGGTTGCAGACAGCATTGTGCGGTATCCTAGTCTCATCTATATGGCCACGAGTCATGGTCACATAGATGTTGTCCGGTCTCTCATGAACCATGGAGCGAAGATAGACATCATTGGGCCAGGTCAAGAAGACAATCTCCTTGCCGCTGCGTTCTCCGGGCATCTTGACTTGATCCGGCTTTTCTTCAGTCCTGATGACTCTCCTACGATGCTGCATCGCAAAAGTTCTGGTCTTTTCGTGGCAGCTGAAAGGGGACATTGGCGGGCGGTGAGCCTGATGATTCAACTTGGGGCAGATCCCAATTCATCCCGTGGCTCGCCCTCCGACGACTACCGCGAATGGAGTCCTCTCGCGATAGCATGCAGAAACCAGTGGCCAAAGACAATGGAGGCGCTCTTGCAAGGAGGGGCCGACCCAAACATTCTGGGGCCGTATGGTGTGGATACGCCGCTTTGGTTTTGCACCGTCGATGAGCCCAACCTCCAATGTGTTCGTTGTCTGGTGCAATTCGGAGCGGATCCCAACCATGAGAACTTCTCTCCGCCGTTACTACACGAGTTGGCAAAGTCGGCACACAAAGTCAACATTCTCGTCGATATTTGCGACTTACTCCTTTCAGGCAAGGGTGCATTTAACATTAATGCAGCAGCCACTGACGGCGAAACTGCTCTCATGCAAGCATGCCGTACGGGGAAAATGCCACTCGTTCGCTGGCTACTTACAAAGAACGCAAACATCAATGCTGTCAACGATTCTGGACAAGATGCAATGAAATGTGCCATCTGGCATGGCCGACTGGACATCGTGGCAGAACTCCTCACGCACAATCCTGAGGGATGCAAACTTGTCCCGGCTGCTACCGATGATCCTGCCAATACTTTTGGACCATTCACGTATCTCACTCTGGCTACGCACAGTGGAAGGACAGAAATAGTCGAGCTATTGATGGCAAACGGACTTGGTGTGAACCAGGCCGATGGCTGGAAAATGTCGCCTGTGCGTTACGCGATCGACAGATTCAAACTGGTTAGTGACACGAGACTGTTTCGACAGCTAATCGAAAAAGGAGCGAAACTGGGCGATGTCGAGCACGGGGAAAGTCTCTTACACCGCGCTATCGACGCACCTTTGGATTACCTTAAAGTTCTCCTGGAATTCCGAAGAGATATCGACATTGATGTTCTTGATTTCTCGAAGGCCACGGCGTTCCACTATGCCTCATCTTGCTCGCGAATGGATCATATGCAAGCACTCATCAGAGCAGGGGCCAATATCAATATCGCGAATGGCCAAGGATATACAGCATTGCATGATGCTGCGTACAAGAACGACCTTGACGTCGCTTCGCTTATTGTTGCCCAGCCAGAAGTCAAAGTCAACATCGTCGCGCCGAGTTACGGCACTGCGCTTCATATGGCTTGCAAGAGGTTGAACGTTGAGGTCATACAAAGTCTCATATACCACGGGGCAGACACCAATGCTATTGCTTTCAACTACGCCAATGGCACGCCACTGATGTCGACTATACTCTCCAATGAGGATGTACTTCGCGATCGAGACTCCCAAAAGATGGACATGGTAGTCCGCACGCTTGTCTCTAACAAAGCCGACATCCAACAGACTCTGTGCGGCTCTGCATTTACATTTGACTCAGCATTTCAGGGTGCTTGTTTCAACGCTGGTATTGCTACAATCAATTTTCTTCTCGATGGAGGAGCCTCTGTCCAGCATTGCGATTCCTTAGGGCGATTGCCTCTCCACTTTGCCGCCGCAAATGGCATCGAAAACTTTCTAGCCGTTATGTTGACCTATAGGGGCGACATGATGGCTACGGACAAGGAGGGAAAGACTTGCTTGCACTGGGCAGCACAATTTGGAAATCTGCAGACTGTCGCGTTCATCGTGGATCGCCTCCATGGTGCAGATGTAGACTGCAAAGATAGCGATGGATGGACTCCACTCTGCTGGGCAGCGCGCGGGTCAAAGCCTGCAGACTTTGGCAATATGAGATCAGAAAAGCCAGACTTCCTGAACGTTATTCGCACTCTTCTCCGACATGGCGCGAGCCCGGAAACAGTATGCAACCTCTCCGACGACGAAGGCACTGGCACTATCCAGAAAACACCACTGGTATTGGCCCGGCTGTGTGGTTCAGGCGCCGACATAACTAGCGCACTGGAACCCAAAGTTTGCGTTCCAGGCAACGAAACTGCATCATCGAATCGCCGATACGTCCTACAAAGACACATTTGCCACGCTTGTTTGGTGGTAATGTAGCCCAAAATTGCCTCCCTCTACTGCGTATCTAACAAGCCTCCAGACGATAACAGGCCCATTATTCAGGTGCAAAACTTGTAACGCCCTCGCCTTTTGCAACAAATGTGTCCAGCACTTCGAGACATACCATTCAAGTGAAAAGCAGGAGGATGGGAAATTGCATGTTGTTGAGAAGAGTAATGTCGACATATATCGGAATGCAACGCTCGATGTTGATCTGAATGCGGACCATGCGGCGAAGACATCAACAACAGCTCAAGATGGGCTGCAGGAACCATCAGAAAACGGGGGAGTGAGTGAAGAATATGATTCAAGCCTTGACCTAGACTTTGATTTGGATGAATTGGGTGAAGGTCTTTCATGAGCGCCCTCGATAATCAACCAGGTCAAGTCCTGATAGATTTCAAGATCAACTATGAATACTTACGGACCTTCATTCTATTCCAAAATATTGACGTTGTGAACCACACCCTCTGGATATTTTGTCGGGATATGGTTTCCGATCAGCTGTCACTCACGGACGTGCATGTGAGCATAGTAGGAGTCAGACATGTTCTCCATACCGAGCAAGATTTACCCAGTTGATTTGCCAAATCCTTTGCCAAGAATCGAGCACGCCGGGCGAAAGCGATCCCAGACATACCCCCGCCAGAATCGAAATGCATCTATAAAGACTCGAGTGTAAGTTTTCTCATATACGACAGACGTTAGAGGCTGAAAACCGCTGCGAGGAAACTTTACGCTATCGTAGGCTATCAGCTGAAGTGGAGACAAGGGTTGTAATGTGGAAACACCCGTGGATCGATCACAAGAGAAGGCAAGCAAGTGGAAACTGTCAAATATGAAATCAGGCAGGTCCCACAGAAGATGTCGTGGAGCTTTTGAGGCCTAGCGCTCACAGGAATATTGAAATTGTTTCTACTTTGAGCCCGCAACAATGCTCCGAGGTTTTGTCAATTGATGTCGAAAAAAGCTGACGCGTGGGGCTGTATGTACGACACTAACAGACTACAGTCTATTGCGTTGATAGCGTCCGCCCCCCCTTTTTTTCCCTGCTTATGCAAAAACATGAAAAAAAGCTAATTTTATACTGTGATATGTATTTTGCTATATTATATACAAAACGCGTTGAACTTATTACTAGTACCTTAATTATTATTAATTATTATAGTTATAGTAGTATTTAAATATATAATTATATAATAGAGATATAAGGTATATATTTAATACTTTTATAGTAGTTAATTTACTTATAGAGGTATTACTAACCTAGTTAGTTACTTTATCTTTATATTAATTAATTAGTAAATCTTATAGGAGATTAAGATAATATTACTAA